AGCTGGTGTAAATGATATTTCTTCCACTAGCTGCCACAAAGCAGTTACCCTATAAGACTTTGCCTGATATAACCTAGACCTTGCCTTTTTTTACTCAAATCCCGGCCTTTATGACCCCCACCAGATATGTTGTGTTCAGAGTTACACATCCATCTATCTATCTATCTATCTATCTATCTATCTATCATCTATCTATCTCCATCGTTGTCCCCTGCTCTGCATTCTCTGAGAAGACAAAAAAAAATGCCACTCTCAAAATAATTTTTTATTGCTTTTCCAGGGATGGTCTGAAATCTTGGCAGTAGAAATTTGAGCTTGATTTTCATCACAGTGCTCTAGAGAAAATGGGCTGTGGCTGTCAGTACCTCAGGTGTGACAGACTTCAGAAAGTTTCCATGACAAAACAAGTAGAGGTAGCATACATGTTAGCAAGGCAATCACTTCAAAATTAACATAAGCTGTATCCCATTAATGGTGCATGTCCACCATGCTGGCTTGAAGCAGGGTCCAGTGCTGGAAGGACTGCAAATCTCTGCTTTGGACAAATACTAATTGGAATTGGAATTATTTGTGTGTGTGTGTGTGTGTGTGTGTGTGAAAATAAATTCCTCGTAGCAACATTACCCTGCAATTTCTGACAGTATCTGCTGCATTGCAAATCCCTTTTTCATCCCAGACTCGCCTAGAGACAGAGCAAACACAGAGGCACTCAGTCCACATATTTCTAACCTGTAGATGTATCTGTCCCTTCAAACACAAAATGCCAGGAGGCTGCACATCACTATTGTGATGCATGCAATGAATAAAAACCTGACACTGTCCTCTCTCATCGGACACTTTTGTTTCCCAGCTACCATGATGATGGTTTGCATCACCTTGCAGAACTCAGGGCACCGACAGCAGAGTGGCATAGGCAGGCACATTTCCAGCCTTGTATCTTCACCACACTAGGATCTATCACGCTAGCTGGCATGCCCCATGGAAGGCTATGTGCAGACTCTTCCCTGCTCCTCCTCTTTGGCAGAGATGATAGGTCTAACTAGGACAGAATCTCAAATCTCCCTTCTCCCCCCATCCTCAGTAATCTCATTGAGGCACATGAATCCAAATGAGAGCTAAGAGGGGGAAA